TTGAGGGTGAGTATGTGCCCTTGCTCTGTATGCTCTTCCTCTATTTACTTATTATTTCTCTATTTATTTACTCATTATTCACTTATGTATTCATTCCATGTCTTTTATATCCTGTAACTTGATCACTTCACATCCTTCCTAGATCACTACACCTGCACCAATAAAACAATATTTAGGAGAAAAAAGGAAAAGTAAGAGAATATTAAAATGAGGAGACATAAAGATCTCCTGATGGAAGCTGCAGTGACTGAGTGTGACAGAGAGAATCCCACTGTGAACCTCTGTCCACATGTCTTCACCTGTCAGTGCTCATTGCACAGTCACTGGTCTGCTTCCAGGCCCCGGGTTTCTACTCCACAAATTTTGTATTTGATAGACCTCGTGCTTCTACTACACTAAATTTGTATTTGATAGACCTCGTGTTTCTACTCCACTAATCTTGTATTTGATACTGTCGTCTGTCCTTTGCAATGGGCACATTAACTTGTTTCACTGTATGAGGTGTGGCCTGAGACAGCAGAAGTAGGAGCTCTGCAGGAAGTCCAGATGGCAGTGTGCCCACTTCCCCAGCATAGAGGGTCTCTGTCCAGCACAGGAGGAGGTAAGCCAACTACCACAGGATTCTCTCCAGGAAACCTTCGTTATTAAGGAAATATGGTCCAGGGCTGGTGTTTCACAGCATCCTTGTTTGAGGGGGTCATGAGCCAGTACCAGTTACAAGCTACCCATGACTGTGCACGCCCTGTGGACCAGTCTGCAGGGGGAATAACTAGAAGTCCTCATTAATCTGTCTGCTTTAGGGTGTGTGGTCCTAGTTAAATGTTTCCCCACATGAAGGAAAGGGAGCTCCTTCCTCTCTTTCCTCTCCCTCCTTCCCTGCTGTTGTATTTGCAGCCTTCAATTATCCTTGTGTCCAGCCCATCAGAAAAGACACAGTTCCACTGCATGCTGGTCTAGTTTATGTGTTTGTGAAGGGGCCTCACTGTAGAGAGTTTTTTATCAGAACCATATTTGTCTCCTAACAGGAAAGTGACAGCAAGCTGGAGGAAAATGGGTACCACATCGATGGAATGCAGAGAATTTGCTCCACTTTGGAAGTAAGTAGGCCTTACCTAGACTAGGACACAGTGGTCAGAGATTGGGTCAGCACTTTTAAAACGTTGTATCCAGGTACCACTGGGTACAGTGGTCAAGCCTAGCCAGTCTTGTTGACCTTACAGCTATGTCTTTCTGATAGGCTTTCTGCTTGCTTTTCCTGCTGGGATAATTGTCTAAAGGGTTTTCAGGTGCACATGACAGACAGACAACCTCTTCATGCAGTGAAGGATGGCCACTCTGATGGGGATGAATGTCAAGGCTCATCTATGTGCAACACATCGCCGAAAGCATCACTGAGATCACTCCATAACAGTCTGTAGTAGATGCTTAGTTTTTGGTTTCTGGTCTAAACTTGTTCTGGCTTAGTGGTTAGTAAGAATCAC